TGAAAGTATATCGGAAACGAGAAGAGACCTAATCTCAGTCGGAACATTTTCTCCGAACGCCTGTTCCTGCAAGCGATCGATCTGTTTGGTTAAAACTGCTGTTTCGAATCGAAAACACCCAGAGGTTTCGCGACGAAAGATGATGGTTTGAGATCCTCGTCAGATCGAAACTAGATTCCAAGGTCGCGGCTAGTTAGTTGAAGCCAGCCAAACTTAAATACGCGAAAGGCGCGACAAACCACTTAAGCAGAAATGCCGAGGTAACCAATGACGGCATTAATGAATGCATTACTCCGTATTTCACTGCAGTTTAGTACACAGAAGGGAAGAGTGATATTGTACATGGTGGAAGAGCTCCTTGTAATAAAGTGGTAGAGAATGTGTTCTTCCTTCCAGCCAGCGAAGAGAAGAACACAATAAATCAAAAAGACCAACGCTTAGCCTTCGAACACGGGCTGGCTTAGATCCACGCCCATATCCTTTGCCATATTCTGTAACTGGGCTTCAATCTCATCTTCCATTCCACCACTAAGGCCCAGGAACTGTTTGATCTTGGTGAAGTAAAAGAAGACATCAGATGTAAACAAGACGCACTTGAATATGATATGGCGTCCATAGTTTTTGAGCCTTTCAGAGAGGGTGAGATATGGAGACTCTATTAGGGCTCTGGATGCCCATGTTCCTGTTATTTTGATACGATTCACAGGTGACCCTAGATATTGATTATTTCCTTGGACAATGCGGAAGTTCCGGGATATAAATATGAGTTCGTGAGGCCACTTCGTTTCATCTCCGAGGAAATCACGGATAGCCTGACTCATGGCTTGTTGAGCTGCATAATGGCGTTCGGCTCTCTCCCGTTTGCTCAGCCCCTCTAATTGTTTGAACGTGGTGTGCTCGCCCCCTTCATAAGGCCGTAACAGGGTAAGCGATGCGAACATGTCCGGGTTTCTAACACCCCAACCTTGAACTATTTCAGAGATGGCAGCATTATCGAATGTTAGTAACGACTTCCAGAAGCGGGCATATTCATGCCTGAATTTCGGGTCCATATGGACATAGAGGCCATGGTCTATGAGAACCAGCTCAGCCTTCCCAGAAGGCTGTCGGCGGACAAACCAGTTTCCAGGATGTGGATCGCAGTGAAGCCATCCCCAAAGGAACATTTGTGCAGAAAACAAATCGACCATGGTAGTCATGACTTCCTTTAGTGACAAGCCCAAGCCGCCACGGCCGTTCTTCCCTTTCCAATAGTCACGGTCCGGCTTTATCTTGTCAATAATAGCAGGACCGCCAGCACGGCGAGGAGGTGCTTTGCCGTCCGATGCCTTTAGAGCAGCTCCATGGCAGCCTGGGCTTCCCTGGTACCAGCCTCCCCTCCAAGGTCGAGTCAGAGCATCTTTATCCCATAGCCGGACTCCCTCGATCCATTCAGCAGTCATAACCCGCTTCGAGCTAAGTTCGCGGTACACCTTTGGGATGTACACTCTATCACGCAGACGTGGTTCACTGGAAATCAACTTAGCCATACGCTCCGCATTATCGGCTTCGTTCTCAAAATCCGTTTCCAAGAAGAGTCGTTCTGATACAAATGGAACAAGGCTATAAAATGGTATGTCAAAAGCTTTGGAGTAGAGGTACGAGATGACCCTGTAATTGTTAGCTTCTACTTAACATCGCTGATGCAGGTTGGGTAGGGGTATTTGGCATCTGCATACGTACTTGAATGCCCATAGATCCCATTCCACCTGGCGTGCAATCTCCCTCTTTTGTATTTTAACTGCGACCTCTCTCCCATCTGCCAGCCTGGCCCAATGGACCTGGGCTACACTGGCACTTGCTCTGGCGGTGCGTTCCATGACTCCACGGCTCGGGTCACCATCAAAGCTAACTCCAAATACTTCTTCAACTGATTTTCCAAAATCTTCTTTGATAACCTTCTCCACATCTTTCCAATCGTTTTGTGGGGCATCGTCGAACATACGAGAGAACATCTTCTGAAATTCTGGTGGAAGCACGGCTGCTTGCATGGCTATTGCCTGGCCAATTTTCAAGTATAATCCGCCATTCTCACGAAGTAGTACAGAGAGACGCTCCGCACTCCGAGCGTGCACAGCTGCGATAGATTTTGCTAGTGGAGGGTTAGGACGGAAGTTGATTTTATAGTCGAGAGCAACGAAGAGGCCAAGTGCGAATGTGCGAGTGGTACGAGTGATGCAGGAAGCGTTGAACTGGCTATCCAAGATATACAATGCGCCGAGAGATGCGCCTGTGTAAAAGAGCCGTCGAAGCCATTTGAGAGTTCGAGGGTATGTCTTTGCACGGCCGGGCTTTCCGAGGGACTCGGGGCTAGGAGGGACGAAAGGCTGGAACTGCCGTGAGTGAATGGATCGTTGGTATGACGGTAGAATGGAGGAACGGCGGAAATTTATATTGGGGGCAGATAGATATGTTGTAGCCTGCTTATCGCACACGATAGCTATGGAGCTTGATATCGAAGGTGACTTCGACTTGAGGGTGGTTGAAAACATGGTAGGTAGTAATAATATGTCATGGCAGTATGCATATGCGCTTTCCTCCTATCCCAGTAGATCCCCCATGGCTCTCCCTTCTGGAGGTTCGTTATAACTAGCTGCGGTGACAGAGGAACGCCCGCGAGCAAGCCGCAAACGTTGATCGAAGCCACAAAAGCCCGAAAGTTGCTTAGTCAGACCGAAGTTCACGTGATTTAAACTTGCTTACTAATCTGTTGGTGGTTACTGTAGTTCGGGCATTGTGCGGCTGCAAATTGCAAAAAAATCAACAACGCTCAACGATCACGTCGGGAGACAAATAGACCATACACTATTTGGATACTCGCCTGGTTATTGAGATACCTTGGGGATTATAATAATGGCCTGAACCGGGTTGCCTTCGAGGCAGACCGGCAAGGTGTACTAATTTCGCAGCCTTATATCAAAGCCACTCGGCCCCTCCCCGATGTCCCGGAACCACAGCACCAGTCGGCCGGAGTAAACATTCCCGCCGAAGCCTAGAATCACTGTCACAATTTTCTACGGCTGCGTCTCATAGCTCAAATCTGCTCACCAAGTTGACTGCAAAAACGTTAAGCCTGTTATTTCTTTTTCAAACTGGAGCCAGCCCCATCGCTGTTATGCATTGGGTTGAATTGCGGAAAACATGATTGGATATAGCAGGTTGGGCTATAGCTATATCAAGGAGAACAGGAAGTTCTTTTCCATTCGGCCTGTACCAGTACTACAGGGTACTTACTTCAGGAAAGCAAGATGAAGCACATAATTAATGAAGATGGCAGTATTACATCTCATATACCCGATCGCTCAATGCAGCGAGCCCCTGAGAATGCCCTTAAAACTGCTTCTCTGTGACAGTTTTAAAAATACAACATATGATACCCGTGATCGCTGGTCAAATCGACTACATCTTCTATTCCTGAAAATAGCGTACAAAGTCTAAATTGCCATAATAATTATGATGCAGCATCATACAGCACACAAGCCAAAGCCTACTGGCTTCCCTTGGATGTCAAGCCCATTGCAACTACATTCGTCAAGGAAAGACAAGTGTAAATTAACACCAGCACAATGTGAATTTCGAAGTGGCTACTGGGTATATTGGTACGGGTGCAGTCTGCGGCCCAGGATGGCGACTTTGGACTAATGTCGCATCATTCTCTAGGTATACATCCGATCTTGTTTACGCGAGAGCCACAGTTTACTTCATGTGTGCTGTCATCTGTGTATTCATGTTATCATATATGTTGCGAAGATTTACCTCCCGGAGTTTCATCGACAAGTTCTTACAAAAGCCCAAGGGCTTCGTGAGGTATTGTGTTTACAGGGGATTCCGCATACCGTTCCTGGCCTGTCTGTCACCGAATGTTGGTAGAATGCTGGTCATTTCTGCCGGAATCATCTTCTTTTCAGGTAAGCTCCTGACCAGATGCTATTATTTTCGGCTCCAGCTAATATCCTATACTAGTCCTAACCTTAGGGCCAAAGCCGTACTACTGGCCAAACACCAAAGAGGTTGTTTTTGGTGGCAGTCCACCGCTTGGTATTAGGGCAGGATGGATCGCTCTTGGGCTTCTTCCCTTTACAATGTCAGTACATTCTTGACCTCCACAAGAGAAGGCCGCTCTAACTATGAAATCAGAGCACTTGCGTCTAAAGCGAACCCTATCGCGGCGTTAACTGGGACATCACACGAAAAAATTCAAGTATGTCCCTAACCCCTTAAACTGTCCTTAACCCTTAAGGCCATTTCCCTATCCAAAGTGAAGGATCATCTAACTCTTTGGTCAGATCTTCCATCAATGGACAAGTTGGGTTATGTTCGTTTTAGGACTGGTTCATATGTGTCCATTCATCATTTACCATACCCAGCGTGGGGATATGCAAAAAAAATGGAAAACGTCTATGCATTACTGGACAGGAGTTGTCACGATTATTCTGCAGGCCTATTTGACATGGTTTTCGTTGCCAATTATACGGTATGTTCAGATTCGCGAGACACCACTACTTCGAGAACTAATAAATAGTAGGAGACGGTTTTATGAACTTTTCAAGGCCACCCATCTTTTTGCAGCCATAATTTACGTTATCTTCCTTTTTATACACTGTGATTTCCGCCTCACTTCATGGTAATATCTTATCGAATGGCTATCTACAGTAAAAATGACGCTTTTACCTAGTGCTAACAATTTACGTAGGGATTATTTTATCGCAACGGCCGCGGTCTATCTTCCCTGCCTTATGTTTGCTCAAATTCGGACTTTTTTCATCAACCGACTTTGTCTCGCGACAGTCGACGTTCTTCCTTGTGGTTTGATCCGCATTACAACAACTTCCTCGATTTCATGGAAACCAGGACAGCATATGTTTCTCCGATTCCTCGGTCTAGGGGCTCACTGCCTAACAGCACATCCGTTTACAATCGCTTCGTTACCCCAAGCAGAGTCCTCGAATAAGACGAATGAAATGACCGTCTATGCCAAGCCTTACGAAGGGCTAACCAAATCGCTTCAAAATGCTGCTAGAGATGTTTCTTCCCTTAATTTAAGAGTTTTGATTGAAGGGCCCTACGGTGGTGTAAGTTCCGGGTCAATGGCAAGGTTCGACTCCATTCTCATCATTACTGGTGGATCTGGAGCTGCATTCTCATTTCCAATCGTGGAGGACGTCTTAAGGACCTGCGCGACCGCGGATTCAGCGGACCAGGTTGAGGGGAAAACACTCAAGATTATTTATGCAGCCCGTTCTTCGCTAATGGCCCAGTGGTACGAAGAAAGAATCAGGGCATTGGTTTCTTGTTACCCTTCGAGCTCAATTGTTTCAGTCTTAATACATACCACATCGATCACCAGCCCTCTACAGAGCTGTATTAGTATGTCAAAAGAATATGCGTCTAGCGGGATGGATCAAACTTTAAATGGAGAGAAGGATTCTTCAATTATACATGAGCACGGCCGGCCATGCCTGGCCGGTGCTGTGGCTTCTCTGGCGGAGCAGGCCGCCGGAAAATCGGCTGGAATTGTTGTTTGTGGTCCACCTTCCATGCTCCACGATATTCGCAATGCGGCGGCAGAAGCACAGAAGAAAGTATTAGCTGGAGACGTTAAAGAGCTATACTTGCACACAGAATGCTTCTCGTAAGTGTTTCCCGCGGCCCGACCTAGAAGTAAAGCATGTGTTGTTGGATGGATGAAATCGCTAACCAAGATAAACGCTTTAGTTTCTGAACGTGATTGTCTGTTCTGCAAAGCTTGAAGAGGGATCCCATGGTCCGCAAGCGCCTCGTTAACGCCAGGTGTGAAATGAATGGAGATAGGCTGTAGTTGATGACCCAGGTTCAACTCAGTTACCATATGATCAAGGTTTTTGACCCTTTGCACAAAGGCTCATGATGTTTCAACGGCATCGAATTGGGTATTTCAGCGACAATCGCTATTCAAGGGGCATGTCGATTCAACGTGAGTTGTAGAGAAATCCCGCGGCAGGGCAATTGTGACATAATTAATCTCGACAGCAAACGACGAACTAGAACCCACACGTTAGAGCATCTGCAAATTGAAACATAACATCAATGTCTCTGGATTGTAGAAAAGCCATGCAGCAACCGCCTGCACAACCTAGAAATCTAAAGCACAAGGAAACAGTCTATTACAGTCATTGAAACAAGATGATAACGCCCGCCAGAGTGTACAGTTGGTTTTGGCCGGCCCGATGCAATTATACACTAAAGTTGCGGAGGATGTGGAGGGCACCGCATCTTGAGAAAAGGGAGGGTGATTGAAATGAAAGAAAGGGAGCCCGTCTCTCCAACTTAAAGAAAAAAAAATGAAAATGGCTGAAGATATAGCCACCCTCATTTCTATACCAAAACATTTTCCTACCACCTATCTAAACCATGCGAAATTTTTAAATGTCCGCGATGGAGTGCTTACTTGGCAATCTCGACACCGTTAGTGGCACCAAGAGCCTTCTTGATGTCACCGTAGATGGCGAATTGACCAGCAGTAAGACCACCAACCATGAACAGACGAGTAGGAAGACCAGCGAAAGCACCACGGAAGCCGAGCTCACCAGCAATCTTGATGAGACGGGAGACGATGCCCTCACCGGGAAGACCCTTGGTCTTGTTGATCTTGGAAAGCATAGTATCAGCTGGCTGAGAGACAATGGCAGCAGCGAAACCAGCCATAAGACCAGATCCCAAGTTGACACCAGTCTGAGCAGCGTCGGAGAGCTTAGACTTGTCGAGGAAGGAGAAAGCAGTCTCAGAAACCTTCTCGAAAGCAACGAACTTGGTGACGGTGTAGGGGATCCTGTACATTCAGCGTTAGTCTCTCCCTGTTGCTATGTTTGGCGCCATACCAGAGGGAAGTTTTCTGTAACTTACTGCTTGAGGAGGATAGGTCCGAATCCGCTGTAGAAGGCACCAACACCCTCGTTCTTGAGGATCTTGCCGAAACCACTGATCAAACCGTTGGCAAAGGTAGGCTGGGAGACAAGACGGATACGGGTAGCCTCAAGAGGGCAGAGGGCAATGGAGGCAAAGAACTCGGCACTGGCAGCAGAGGCAGAGTAGACAAGAGCACGGTTCTGGCGAGCGGTCTCGAGACCGAGCATTTCGATAGACTGCTTCTTGAAGAACTCATATCCACCGAACTTGAATGCACCCTGGAGGAAATAACCGGCAAAGGTTGGGCCGACACCAGTCAAAAGAGCACCAGCACCTTCATTCTGAATGACCTGGCGGAAACCACCGATCATACCACGGTTGTAGGTGGCAGGATCAAGCTGGATTCTGGTCTTGACGCTGTTCAGAGATGGATCTGTCAGTATAATCACGACCAATTGATTCCAAAGGGCTGGATAACATACACATCGACGGGAGTGAAAGCACCGTGGGTGACGGAGCAGCAGACAGCACCGGCGAAGGCGAAACGAGCGTACAGGGCAACGCCCTCGGGCTTCTTCTCGGGGACGGCCTGAGCCAGAGCAGCGGAAGCAGAGGCCATTGCGACGGTGATGAATGCGCAAGACGCAGAAGAGCGGGTGGACGGGGGGAGAGTAGAGGGTGAGTAGTTGAGAGCGTTGGTGATATGGGAAGAGATGGAAGAATTCGGAGCAAAAAAAAATCTGAGCGCGGAAGGTTGGTCCCTGACCCGGTCACGTGATGTGTCATCTGGCCCGGGCCGGCAGCAACTCCGGGCGGCTTTTTCAGCAGCTGACTGCCGGGTCAGCATCAGACTGGGGGGCAACAAAAAAGAAAGGCGACGATGGTAGAAGCCTTGGAGTAAACGGACAAGGCAGAGGCCCTCTGTTGGAGTAGTCATGTGGGATAGTTGCTTTTGCGGGCGGATGTTTCCTGAAATCCTGTGCTGCAATATCAATATAAAAGGGAGTATTGCGCCTAGTACTAGTGCTTTTCTTATTTGCCGGGTAATTGTTAGAACACAGCCCTTGCGTCCCGTTTAGCTCATACGAAATTTCTAGATACTAGGCGTCAGGAGTTCTGTGTATATCTATCTATCGGGTGTCAGACTAAAGCTGGTGGACCGTGTTGTGATGATAAAAGTGTATCGTATGAAACTAGGGCCTCCATATACCCAAGTTCACTGCTATCAATCGGTTAATTTTCCGACAGATATTGGCACGAGCCAGTTCCCAATATGACCTACTAGGTACGAGCTCTCGCGAAATGAAGTAAACAATGAACAATTATATATCGGCTCGGTATACTTTATTGTCCGCACGGTTTCCATATCAAAGCGTAGATATACTATGGAACCAGATACAAAGATATATTGAGTGTTAGTACTGCTATTAGAATACGTAGTGTAGCTTGAAGTTTACACAGAACGTCCTCCCAGAATTACACGTTTCGAGCAAACCGAGATGTATGTAGAATCAATCCTTTCCAATGCCAACAACACCTGAGGCTATATATTCTCCCAGGAACTGATCGGTAGTAAATATTTGCAGATATAACCACGTAAATCTTGAGAGAAATATATCCACGGTATAACTGAAGAACAGAAGCCAAGTGGAAATAAACATCACTTTGACTCGTGCTGAAGAATGCTGTCCTGCATCTCTCTTGGTATGGAGATGTTGCGGTCAAATAATGTGCAGAGGAGGAAAACCCAAAAAAAAAAAAAAAAAAAAAAGGGAAGGGAAAACTGGATGACATAATAAGATGGCCACTATTATATCACTGACCTATCAAATCAAATATATTGGCCCCGTTACTAGCCTGATTATGTAATGGGTCTCGTCGTTGTCGGTCCAGCTCAAGCTCTCCCCAGCTCCCTATCGCCGTAAACACCGTCAAGCTTGGAATTGGATTATTGGACCAAAAGAGATCACAGTCGTGATTTCTGTACAAGAGACATGTAGATGCATAACTGTCAAATCCCCGTGATCCTTGGAAACCGCATTGAGAAAGCTCAGCTATGGGAACATACTACATAAACAACGGCGTTTCGAAGCTTTTCCGTCTATTATCGCTACTTCACCATAGACATTGTCCATACGTTGTGGATATCGAGAGTAGTACTAATGCTTCTCTCTCGGTAAACCGCTTGTCCAGCTTGATTTAAATGCTAGCGAGCTACAGGTCTGAACGGTGGCAAATCGTGAGCTGGGCCGGATGGATGCAACTCCTTTTTTGCCATGTCCCATCCTTATCTCCGCAGCCATGTCGCTGCCCATTTATAATGAGCCCGGCATTCAGGGAACCCCCACGCATCATTCCCAGATTTCCACATATTATGATCAGCCTGCAATGAGTAAATCAAAAAAAGCCAACCAATAGGTTTTAATACGGCTTATGACTACTTCACTAATCGAAGCCCGGACTTTAGGCATATCCCCCGAGCTCGGGCTCTGTGCGGGGGTGGAATGTAAATCCGGTCTGCTGTGCCACAGATGACACAACCAACTGGTTTTGGGCTGGTTGTATATAAAATCTAGTATTGCCCCTCATTAATAGTCACTTTCTTTAGACCTCGAGGCAGTTCAAATTGATTGAAGAGGTCCAAAATTGATACTTGAAGATATACTACTCTCTAAAGATGGATATTCCGAAGACGTTCAAGCAAGCCATTTTCAAGGAAAAAGGCGCCCCATTGGTCCTCGAAGAGGTGCCAATGACACCTCCGGGAAATGGGGAGGTGTTGGTGAAGGTGCAGGCTTGTGGTGTATGTCATTCTGATGTATACGTACAGAACGACGGTCTGGGCGCTGGACTGTAAGTTTGCTTATACATTATCGGTTTGATAATATAGGACTGACAACCAGCTTTGCCTTATAGCCCCCGAGTGCCAGGACACGAAATCATCGGGCACGTGGCCGCAATTGGTGAAGGAGTGACACAGTGGAAAGTTGGTGATAGGATTGGAGGAGCGTGGCATGGCGGTCATGACGGTTAGCACCATGTCTTTCCGCGGGAGGGAAGTCCGTTCCCAAGGCTGACTGGAACTGTAGGCACTTGCAGACAGTGCAAGAAAGGTTATTACCAAATGTGTGATAACGAATTGATCAATGGCGTCAACAAGGGAGGTGGCTGTATGTAGCGTCTTTCCCATATTGTTCCAGGTCCAGAAAGCTAACCCGAGTATATAGATGCTGAGTACTGTCTGCTCCGTGCCGAAGCTGGTGTGCGAGTTCCAGCAGATGTCGACGCAGCAGTATACGCCCCCATCCTATGTGCTGGAGTAACGGTTTTCAACTCGATGCGCAACATGAAGCTGATGCCCGGCTCGACAGTCGCTATCCAGGGCCTCGGTGGCTTGGGTCATCTAGCGATTCAATATGCAAACAAATTCGGATATCGTGTTGTGGCCTTGTCTAGAGGCTCTGATAAGGAAAAGTTTGCAAAAGAGCTAGGGGCCCACATATATATCGATGGCGGCAAAGGTGATGTTGGCGAGCAGTTGCAGGCAATTGGAGGTGCAGATATGATCGTTTCGACCGCACCGAGTAGAAGGGCTGTCGAACCACTTCTCAAGGGATTGGGAATGTTGGGCAAGCTTCTGGTCCTCTCCAGTAAGTCATTTAGGGGTAGGGCGCTGGTTTAAGCTTGAAAATTTGCTGATTTACCCTTACAGTCCCTGGGGATATCACAGTTAACACCGGTCTAATGGTGAGCTCGCATTGGCTATTATGCATTTTCAATTATTGAAGAATCAATCAACTGACCTGAGAACCAGGTACGCCGAGGTCTGAGTGTTCAGTGTTGGCCCAGTGGCCACGCCACGGACTCCGAAGATGCCATCGAATTCACGAAACTTGAGAATATCAATTGCATGATGGAAAAATTCCCACTTGCAAAGGTCCAGGAAGCATATGGTAAGTTCCTTTCGCCAACACAAGTTGGGACATGGTGTAGCTAACAACTTCCTCAGATGCGATGGTGAAGGGAACAGTTCGATTCAGGGCTGTGATCACTATGGAGTAATTGTGTAACTACATAGCCATATAACTGGTAAGTGCTAAGAAAAGCTCTCTCGAACTTTGATAAACCACGAATCGGACATCAGAAGATCGCCTTCTTAGGTTGTGTCGCTGGAAAGGATTATTCTGGAATGGTTGTGAGAAGGAAGCCGACACGACTATAGCAACCTCACTTTCGCGAGCGCTGGAAAACTAAATTAAGGTTCAAACTAAGTTCTAATCACATGATACAAATGTTGCCCATTGTTAAACTTTCCATTATATAATCAAACGAGTTTAATTTAGGTTCACTCCTCCGGGGACAAAGTTCCCTAACAAAGTTAACTAGCGCTTTCGGCGGCGTACCCGTAGCTTGGCATTGGACGATGGCATGCGCAGTACTCCAATCCATCTGTCAGGGGGTCTCGAGTCCATAATTTCCAGGTCGTAGTATACCAGAGCATATGCCAACATTAGTTTGAGTTCGCTAGCCGCAAAGAATCGGCCGGGACAGGCTTGACGACCGTTGCCAAAAGCAAGATAATCAGACCCAGTAGCGGCAAATGTCAAGCGTGCTCGATCTACATGGTCCTGGTTGGGGTCATCGCTGTTGATATCGCGGCGCAGACCAACGAAGCGGAATGGTTTGAATATATCTGGCTGTTCATACACATCTGGGTCATGGACAACACCAAGGTTATGAACAGCGCAGAAGTTACCGTAGGCTAAATGGACACCAGATGTCGTAGTGAACCCTTCCTTCGCTACAACTCTGCGACGAAGCCCAACAGCAATCAGGGTGTTAATCCGGGCACTCTCACGAAGAACCGAGTCGAGCTTCTCCATCTTATTCAGTGCCAGCTTTGTCCACTGCCCTCCACATTCATCCAAAACTTGTTCGACCTCGGCTCGGAGCTCCTCAAGGACTTCAGATGTAGACGACGCTAGATCCAGCATGACGTTCGTGATAGTCAAGGAGGATGTGTGGATGGAGACCAAATTCATTAGAAGTATACGGCCAGCGAGGGTTCTGGGCCGGCACATACGAGGGTTGCCACTTTCTCTGGCTTGCTCTATACACCATTGTAGAAAATCATTCTTCCTTTCTGCTTCATCAGGAGATTTCCCAGCGGACAGCGAGGATGCAGGGTTGTCAATGTTGTGCAAGCGATTTTCAATCTCTGGAATAAGCAACTGAGTAAACCGCCTTTCGTAATATCGACAAGGAAGCGTGAACAACAATGACGCCAAAGGACGCAGCGGTTTCCATGTAAAGCTCAACAACAGCTGACTGAATGGTAACGCCCGCGCAAAGCCGAGACCAGCATTGAGCAGTGCCGAGTCGCGACAGTATGGAAGTCCAACGAAGGCATAATTTGTTGCCCTGCATACAATAGAACCCATACTGTCCCAGATTCCAACATCGCGAAATGACTCTGTATCGATCCCCCATTGCTCCTCATAGGCTTGAATGGTTTCGTTAGACAAGCCAGGGAGGAGATTACCGACCTGGTTTGTTAACGTCGTCGTAATGAGCTTTGTGTGTGTTGGGTGTGAGACGAGCATACTGTCGGATATAGTATACTCGTAGAGGAGTCCCTGTACAATAACCTCGCGCAAGCTGAGCACATCTTTGGGCTGGTCGGTGACTAACTTAGTTTCAGATGCCGGAAGCAGTACAAACATCTGACCGCCGGGTCCTGCAATAGGTAGGATTGTAGCTTGGTCCTTATACTTTGCATAGGCTTCTAACAGATTCCCTCGGAGATTGAGAGCGTTACGCCATGCCGCTTGAGAAAAGGGGAACCAGTCTCCTTCTCTGGCGCCAATTATTGGCAGGCCCTTGGGGAGATGTGCGACTGAGGGAAACAGGAGCTTTCGGATAATGTAAATGAGAGTCAACCCCACGACGATGTGGGTGATCATTAACGCCATGTTTGTGTGTCTGCACTGCCGACACGGAGTACAGTTTGGAGACCGATGGCGGGGAGAGTAACCAGGGAGTAGCGGGATAGAGATTGGCATTCAAGATCAACCGTCACATAGTAATAACACGACCACAATCCGCGAGGGGGGTGTTAATTAACCTCCTGGTAATCTGCATTCCCGTCGGAGGCTTCCAAGTGGGGGTAGTCTACATATGGAAAGATCCGATAGCAACGCGTAGATAACAGATAGTTAACAGGTTGTAACCATTGGAAGAAAAGGAAAATAGTAGTTAACCACCAACTAGGTAGATAACCAATTGGTACGGACGTGCGGCCTCGTACTGACTACCCAATACACATCTTGCTGGCCCATAGGAAAGCTGTTGAAAATGAGAATCCTTGCTCTCCACGGTCTGGGCTCGTCATCCTCGCTCCTGAAGGAGCAACTGACACCCTTCAGCAAGGCATTGGGCAGAGAGTACCGGTTTATATTTCTAGATGGAGGAATACCCTGTGAAAGAGGCCCAGGTACGAGTAACTACCTATCTTCCCATCTCCAACTAGTGCTGAAGTGTCAAAGGTGTCCCATCTTGGGCCCCCGGGCCCTTCTATTCATACGCAACGGGTTTCACCCCAGTTGAGATGCGTCAGGCTCTCAACTACTTGGATAATTTTATAAGAGAACACGGCCCTTTCGACGGCGTGTTTGGATTTAGTCTGGGCGCCGCCCTCGCGATAACATATATGCTGGATCAGCAAAATAAGCAGGCTTCTTCGCCATTCTGCTTTGCTGTCATGTCCTCGTCTATATTTGTTGTCTCGCCTGATGATAGCTTTTGCGAGCAGCTTCTGCGTCGATGGCTGGCAGACGACCATGCAGCGTTTCGGTCCAAGTTCCCCAACGGTGACTTTATGACAGAGCTGGAAGATCCATCCGAGCAGAAGCTTGCCCAGTATCTGCAGCAAGTCTTATCTATGCAGTCAATGGGGGTTGGGCTAATTTTGCCAAACACGAATGTCGATTTCCTAGGCACCAAAAAGACGGAGGAAGTCCCACGCTTGGTCCATCCGGATTTGCTTAACGCCCGGATCAAGATACCAACAGTCCACGTCACCGGCCGGTATGACTCGCCCTATATTGGAAAGCAGTCGGCGGTTGCACAAGACTTGTGCACAGCTTCGGTTCGGCGGGTATATAGTCACGATGGTGGCCATGATGTACCTTTTAAGATATCCGACGTGAACGCCATCGTTTCTTTAATCAAGGAGATGGCCGAGGAAGGTACTCAGATACGGGATTTGTACGATGATTAATTCCGCGTCCGGTCTATGTCACGGAATTGGCAAAGTTCAAGTCGAACGATGGTAGAGCGATGACCTTGTGGAATAGATTTTTTTTCAAGTTTGCAAGCTCAAGAATGAATCATGTCTATATGCCACATTTCCTCTACTCCAGTTGCTGTTACTCGATTTCAAGCCATGCGTAAACTATACTTCGTAAACTCTGCGTCCTTGTCGAGGAAATCCGCCTCTTTGTCTGATAAAGTCATCACGAACTCTATTCCGCCATAAGTCTTTCGAGGTATCACGAAACACGTACGGAAAGCACTGTTGCAATCCCCCATAAGGGGCCGAAAGGCTTCCGGCCGACCACCAGCGCCAAATGTCTGGGTTCCAAAGCAGGTTTCATTAAAGGGAAGAGTTGTTGGAGCCAGGATGCCCACTGAAGGCGATTTCATGCGAGCTGCTCGGAGTTGCGGTAGCCTTGTATAATCTGAGACTGAATCAAGTAGTCTATATGCATCCAACAGGCTGTCGGAATCTGTAAAATTTGCCGCACGTGTCCGTATCGTACTCGCGAGATGGGGTATACTTGTATCCTTAGCGACAATACTGCCGGAGGAGAGGGCAAGTCTGTTTTCAAAGTTGACATTACCAAGATAGCCGGCTGGCAGTAGACCTTGGAGCTGCGGCCGCGCATCGAAGGGGATGCTGACCTCTGACATTGCTGAATGAAGCTTGTTGGTGTTTTGCTGCGCGTCCTGAGTTGCCATCCAAGCTCTGACAATACTTCTCCAGATCAACGCACAGATGAGATCGTTACCAGTAACTTCTGTAGGACCGAGTTCAGCAATGCAGTCTTTGCGCAGAGCCGTATATGCCCCTTGCGACATATAGAACAACCTAGGCCTCATCGCTTTCAGCACACCAGGAGAGGCATCAGGGGTGGTGGAAGTCTCTTCGACAAACGCGTGTTCGGAATCGAGGCCCACGAGACGACATATATCTTCTGTCAAAAGGCTTGAAACCGTACCTCGCCTGTCCTCTTTGCATGCATTTCTCAGTGCTACCCGTTCGAAACCCGCGCCCAGGCCACCGTGGTTTCGAACAATATTCTCCATTTCTGCATTTGCTATCAAAGAGTTGCAATGGTGAGCCCAAACTTGAGTCACAGAGAGCATCGCGGTGCCGTCTGAGGCTGGGCTCGCAACTGAGAGAGCCAAAGCGCAACCCCCTGGCAAGAAGTTGGCCTGGGCAACCAAGACATCAGCCCCGTTCTCGAAATCGGGCTGGAATGGTGTCGTCCATAACAAGTCATTTTCTTCGAACTTATCCAGCGGAAACCCCAGATCTCTAAGATCAGAGAGTTCCAGGTCAGTTTCCAGCTGATTGAAGTGCAGTTGGTGTGGTGGTTCTTTGGAGGAAAGGGCCTCAAAACGGATCTCCAATTGGCCGGGACGCCACTCACTAGTATCCTCGCTCTGCCAGTGAACGCGACCATTGAGCCATGGTATTTGAACAAAGGTTCGACGTAGACCTTCTTGTAGACGTCGAAAAGCATCCTGTACCGTGACACCCTGCTTCAAGCTCAGGTAGATCACGCTCTGTGGAATATTCCAAGCAGCTATGTGGTCGAGGGCGTCGAGCTTAATTTTTTGCGTGGGAGCCATGGTATCACTGCACGCAACTAACTAACTAGTTATTCGAAACAACATCCAACCCCGTCCAAAGACCGTATTCTCACTCAAATCGGTAGGCTTAAATCCGAAGCATTATCAGTCGCTGAGAACTATATCGAGTAGGTCCCAAAGCAGTTTAGGTTCAGCCAAGATCGGATGTTACTGCGCCGAACTGCTCGGATGCCCCTTTGCACTATCCCGCGGAGGTTACTGTATTCGGGCATTCAGAGGAAATAAATAGAGGGATTCTACGACGAATTCCTTACATGACTGTAAGTACCTCGGTAGACAGGGATTGTCACTAGTGGCAGGGTCACTGTCGTTCTCATTCAATAGACAGTGCGGGGATGTGGATGCCGGATATAACCCAGAATGGAAAGGCCCGAGAGCCATGTGTGAGAGTGCAAAAAGGAGAAGCTGCAGGAACTCGTTAACTAGTGTCAAATTGACGGCAGCATAAAATGATATGATTGGTTAAAAGCGATATTCGAAACGAATATCCTGGTGTAATTGATGATATCGGTGAGCTTGCTAAGTTACATGCAGAATTTGCAGCGCCAATACGCAGATGCTAGATGACTAAGCTAACTAGTTAGGCTGCAGGGCGTTTTGAAATCATAATACAGACTAATAAATAATAGGCCAAGGGTAATATATAGGGGCAGATTAATATATATTCACAATATACAACAAGATGATCGTGTGAATGGGCATCGGGCAACCGAAATAAAGAAGAGGAGGGGAAAAGGAGAGTAACCATCCGACAAGACATTCCTTCACGGTTATCACAAAAAATTACATCTCTCCCAAATTCTGCAAGCCAACAAGTTCAAAGTACGCCGACCCCATCTGCATCAACTCAGAATGAGTCCCGGCCTCAATGACGCGGCCTTGGTTGAAGACATAGATCATGTCTGCCTTTTGCACTGTGCTGAGACGATGTGCGACAGCTATCGTTGTGCGGCCTTTTGCTGCAGTATCGAGAGCAGCTTGTACGAATTTTTCAGACTCGGAATCGAGAGCGGAGGTGGCCTCATCTAGTAAAAGAATTTTTGGGTTGCGGAGTAAGGCTCTGGCAATTGCAAGGCGTTGCTTCTGGCCACCCGATAGCATACTGCCCTTACTACCAACGAGGGTATCAAACCCGCTTGGCAGACCAATAATGAAATCGTAGATATTTGCATTCTTGCAGCATGCCACTATTTCATCTTCTGAAATATCATCTCTGTCCGTACCCAGCATGATATTCTCACGGATAGTGCCTTGGTATAGAGTTGGCTCTTGGCCAACAAGTGCGATATGGGAGCGGTAATTTTTGACGTTGAATGATGAGATTTCCTTGCTGTCCACGTAGATACCCCCGAAAGTTGGGTTATAGAATCTCTCTAAGAGTGAAATTGCAGTGGACTTACCACATCCACTAGCTCCAACAAATGCAACGTATTGTCCGGGTTTGACCTGGAGGTTAAGACCTTGTAGAACAGGTTGGTTTGGTCGCGACGGGTACCGGAAGTGTACATCCCTGAACTCGATATAGCCTTCTATACTCTGAACCTTTTCACCGTCATCACTCCAGCTATCAATTTCCGGTGTCCGTTCAAAGAGAGCCTTGACACTAGCAGCAGCATGACGGGCTTTGGCAAAATCCGGTACATAGCTGAAGATAGTCCCTGCTGACTGCGCGCCGAAAATGACAGAACTGTAACACAGGAAGAATTGGAACCTGAATCGAAGTGTTAGGACGAATATCATTTCTGATTGGGGGAATCGTGGTTTACTCACATGCTATATTCGCGTCTACCAAACAGGGTACCTCCATACCAAAAGCCGAGAGCCATGCAGAGGAACTGGAGTGATTGAGATGCTGCATAAAGGATGGACGACTTAAGGACGGACCACACTAGGCTGCGGCCTTGCGAGAGAAGCTGTGCGTGGTAGTGACTGCAAATGTCATCCTCACGGGTTAAAGAAGCTACGGTTCGGATAGCTGAAGTGGCCTCACAAGCATAGCTTGCAGAATCTGCGTAGGCTTTTTTCTTCTCTCTCTCGAGTCGGACCAGCATTACCAAGCGGAAGTACCCGCAAGCGAGGAGAAGGGGGATGATGGAAATGCAAACCAGACCAAGCTTCCACCCTACAGCCAGCGCTATGGCGCAAGCGGCAACCAAGGTAGTGACCATCAAGATGATAGTCATCATAGTAATCCCCGACAGCCCAGCCAATTGAGAGGTCTCAGTGGATAGGAAGGAAGTGAGAGCACCTGCAGAACGTTTGTCGAAGTAGGCAATGTCTTGCCGGAGGATATGCCGGAATGCTTGGTCACGAACTCGATGGATCAGTCGTTCTGCGCAGTGAGAGAACATAATACCCTGAGTTGTGAGGGCCAATAGCTGCACAAAGGCGAGCATCAAATACATCAGGGACCAGAAGTTGACTTGTCGACGTATTTCAGAGCTTTCTGAGAGAGGGAGTGAAAGGACTGTAATGCACTTAGAGAAGAAGACAGCTTGTGTTGGATTACCTCCACCGCAGACGACGCCGAGTAAAATTCCAAAGACCATATATTTCCATTCTTGTTTGTTCAAACCCGCCACGAAACGTATCAGTTCAAAGAAGGTATAGTTGTCAGCAATGTCGTCTTGTTGCTCTTTTCCCTTTCTCGAAAGTGTAGTTCGTGATTTTTCTGACTGTGTCTTGTCCGTTGTAGGGTCCTGAGGTTCTTCTTCTTCATCTAACTTGCCGAAGCTGTCGCACTTCTCATCATATCCAGTTTGCAGTAAATCATAATCGGTTTCGGGCAAAATGTGATCATTATCTTGACTTCTAGACTGCTGCTTTGTCGCTATCCGCTGAGCCTCGACCAATTTATGATAAGCCGCTTTCTTTTGCAGGAGTTCATAGTGGGTGCCTTGCTCGACAACACGTCCGTGAGACATTACCACAATATTGTCCGCATTCTTGATAGTAGAGAGCCGGTGAGCAATGATCACGGTAGTTCGTCCCTGGGCAGCTTTGTCGAGTGCAGCTTGTACAACTCCTTCGCTCTTTGTGTCGAGTGCGGATGTTGCTTCATCAAGTAGTAAGATCTTAGGGTCGCTAACTATGGCCCTGGCAATGGCAATACGTTGTTTCTGCCCCCCTGAGAGAAGTAACCCTCGTTCGCCAATGTTAGTTTCGTAGCGTTCAGGAAGGGAAGAGATGAAATCATGAGCCTGAAAAGAAACTTGGTCAGAACTTTTGACTGAGTTTGTACGGTAGTTAGAAATATAAACGCTAAGGGATTAAACTCACATTTGCTATTCGAGCAGCGCGCTCGACCAGCTCAGTAATCGCTTTGTCGGATGCATGCTCGTGCGGTGTTCCGATCAATCCATGCTTAATATTTCCAAATATCGTGGTAGCGAATAATGCAGGCTCTTGACTAACCAATGAGATTTGTTGTCGTAACCAGCGTAGATTTAGATCTTTGATATCATGGCCGTCGATATATAGAGATCCACCCACAGGATTGTAGAAACGCTCAATCAGCCCGACTATAGTGCTCTTCCCAGAGCCTGAAGCTCCAACAAGAGCTGTAGACTTACCAGCTGGGAATATCAAGCTTACATCATCCATCACAACAACATCGGGGCGGGAAGGGTATATATGTCTAATGTTCTTGAGCTCCACATCTCCCTGAATTTTCTCGAGCTTCTGACCCTCAGTCGATAGAGGATCGAGAGGAGAGACACGATCGATGGTTGCATAGATCTTATTGGCTGCTGCAACCGCTGTGGTGATGGCTTGGACATTCGGCGTGATATTGCCCAGGGCAAAGGCACCCATCATGATGGCCATTTGAATAGTAAGAATCTGCGCTAGCCCAACGGATCCATCCACCAGGAAGCGGGAGCCCATCCAGAAAGACAGTCCATAATTGAGGTAGATATACCTTGATAGTGACAATTTGTTAGAACGCTGTGTTGTTCAATAGAATTCAAGAGACCGTCAATCGGAAGGTGAGATGTTATTCCACTCGCTATACTTACAGAAAGAGAAAGCCAAGCATTGAGCTAGTGGTGGATTTCAGCTTGAAGCCGGACTTCTCTGCTTCAACAAGATATCCATCATACCGTTGAGCCAACTTCTCTTGGGTATTGAACGCAACCGGATTTCGAATCGAGCTAATGACCTCTTCTGCAACCGTTCCGCCTTTAGCAAATTGGCCAAGGTATGTCTTGCTGAGCTTAGCAACGAACGTGCCCACGAAACCCAACGTGACAACAATAGCGACGACAGTGGAGCACATAATCAGGGCCAGTTTCCAATGCCTGGTGAAACTGATCACTATAGCGGCTACAAAAGTGGCGATGGCTGTCAAGGTCAATCCCACTTTCTCTGAGATGCCTTCCTGGACAAGATTGGTATCTGCTGTAATGCGTGTGGTAATCTCACCCGCACCAAGCTCGTCAAAAAAGGCAATATTTTGTCTGAGAATGGCAGCTAGGAAGCGTTCTCTGATCTTTGATGTGACGTGTTCGCCGGCGTACACGAAACCGATCGTGGCCATATAAACCATAGCAAACTCGCCTATAGCAAGGTAGAGAAAGTACAGAGAGAAACTCGCAAGGTCGCTGTTAAACTTGCTCCCCGAGATTTCGCCCAAAAGGAAACTGCGGAAGGTGCCTGCAAGACCACCGAACAAAACAGTCATCATGGGCATAAGTGCACCGCCAATGATCGCGGCCACCGAGGCAAGCACAAGAACAATCCTGTCATTCCGTGTCGCATAACGATACAAAGCCATGTAATTGACATTGGTGGCGGGAAGATCCAGTTGTCTCTTGAGGATGAGCCTCTCGTGCTCTGGCAGATGCTTGAACGGACCATCATCTCCCATCGTTTCGGTTTCCCCAACCTGCGCTGGACCGGCTCGGTTCGCGTGTCTGGCATCTTGACCTTCCAGGTCACGGCTCGTCATCATGAAGCAGCCCAGCGATTATTGACGTGACACTGGTGGTGGGAGGTCGGAGTATGTTAGTTTTTCTGATGGTGGGGGGGTCAAGTCGGCCTGTAATGAAGTGAGGTTGAAGCGAAAGAATCTCTGGAGCGTGCAACTCGCTTTTGTTAACTACGCTGCCGAGTGCCCCCTGAGTCCCCTTGCTATACAACAATTGAGGCGTTATCATTTTCTATTGTTTGGAGGAAGCGGGGGGGCGACAATCATGGATTTGATGTGTAAAACGCTGTATTGCATGGATATCTGTATGCTATGAGGGTGTTGGCCAATAATGAACGACCCAGTCTTCTGGATACCCCTGGTGGGTCTCCGGAACTTACTGGATTAGGCGATCAGCCGCATATCGACCCGCCCAGACTGGTTCCAGATCCTGGTCATCATATCAATGCGGTTGTTGGCGGAGGCCTTGCGGGCCTAACACTTGCAAACACACTGGAAAAGGGGAATGGTGACTTGCTGCTAGAGGCCCGTGGTCGATTTGACCCCCGGGGCCGGAGTATCCAACCCGATTATGGGTGAAACAGCCCCAATCACAATGTACAAAATCCACCGGAGCAATGGTAAACTTGTATCAGAAGGAGGATGATGATATTGAGCTCTATCGAGTGTGCGAGGCTTTAATCAAACAAGGTGTAGCGAAATAAGATGACTAATACAAAAACTGACAACTTGTCATAGCACCGGCGCTCACATTCCCCGATCTTGACAACCAGGTATGATAAAAACATCTATCTCTCAGGTAATTAGTAGTTAAGTAGATCGAACTAAGTACAGAGTTGATGGCGCTCTGATACGGAGTACAAGCGTATCTAATGATTAACTAACTAAAATTAACATGCTAGGTACATAGCGCTCGCTCCGCTCGTTATCAAGAACAAAATATCCGCTACTCTGTACTTCCTATTGGATTACCAATTCGCTATTAATCAGCTATTTCTATTGGTTACGGTGAAAATATATGTTAGATTTATGCCCGCCCAGTCAACCAATAAACGTCACTGACCCCTTATGCTTCAGGGGTGCCGTTGATTGGTTATCCGGATTGGTCAGTCAGCTTTATAAAATAAAATTTTGATTGGCTATAACTAGTTATTTATTCTATTAGCTCAGGAAACAGAGGTTATGTAATTAAGCTTCTCACCGGCTACTGTAGGTTTGGAATACGCGGAGAATTTAAGCGCCTAAAAGTCAAACGGACCTCAGTACAGCGGACTGAATGGACCATGCCTCCCACACAAATATCCATCATCATTGGCCCCGGTCATTCCGACTGTACGACTATAATAGGCAACAAGCGAAGTACTCCTGATGTTGCGGAAGGGGATCGAGCGGGCTGAGAAAGAAGCTAGCACTCTTAAATCTAGGGAGGGCAGAGCTGGGTAACCAGAGTACCTAGTAACAAATTACCTTACCTTGCGCATCTCAGCGTCCTATGGGAGGCCACGATTCCCAGATTTGACAGACGTACGTAAAATGCAGCCTTACGTTACTTGACTTCATTGGTGCAATATAACGTCGCCGTTTGGAGGGTCATCATGCCCGAGGCGCAGGGGGGTGTTCAAATACTTGGGTGTTAACACAGAGCTCTGATTGATCAGTCCATTGGTACAGAGTACAGGCCCACTTGCCGCCTTGCCCCACTGCCGATTATTATTATTATTATTATTATCATCATCATCATATTATACACTTATGCCGAAGACTGAGGTTCAACCACTAGAGTCTCTTAAAGAGGCTTTTCTAAACACCCTTTCGTGGATGATTATAATACCAAAGGCTTCATATACCAATCCGTCATGGATAGCCGCTGCGGATGATTTATACCAACATCTACAGTGTAGAACCGCAGCACTCATCGGGGTACCCATCTAACTGAATCCGTGCCGAGGGCTCAGGGGCTATTCAAAAGTTAGTTTGCCCGAGGTCCTGGTCACCGTATCATGCACTGCTTAATCCAGGTTCCTTCGCAACCAATCAGGCAGTATGGAAACTACCTAGCCATGGATGCACATATGCAAAGGCACAAGGTAGTGAGCGCCGTGTAGGTGATCAAAGAATGCAATTGTACACGTATGCGCTCAAATGTACAGGGATTATTTTGGCCTTGGGTCCAGCACATCTGGCGGAACGTATCTTGTTTCGCATTTATTTGGCCTGACGTTACGGGACCTAAGTTTTCGCTGATCTTGTATTTCACACTCAAGATTTACGTTTAAACCGACCGCAGGCCAGCCGATGTTTGCAAAGATGTTTGGCACCATTCGATACGACAAGGACACCAATAGTCGCAAGCATGTAGAGCTCCAAAGCGCTAGTGGATTCAAAGCCAGAGGTTATACTCCGGTTGCCTGTGATCGTTGTCACTCACGAAAGGTCAATAGGTCTAGATCACTTCTTTCAACATTACGGCCTAGGTCACACTGGCCGTGGACTAATTTTCACTTCATTGCTGCGGAATGATGAAGATGAATACCTGCTGACATCTCCCCAGCTAAAGTGTAGCGGTGACAAAGATGGCTGTGGAAAATGTCAGGCTGCCTCAGTCACTTGCATGTATCGAGATATCTTGTCGATCAAAGACAGTAGAAAGACATCAAAACGTGTGCGCCCTTCCAATAACCATTTGCCTACTCCAAACTCATGTCAGGCTTCCTATGGTAGTCAACAACTGTCCATCGGCGCAGAGATAGACCAAGAGTCTACTCAAAGCATGTCTGACTCTGAGCCTCTAAATTTGCCATGCTCTTCTTCCGAGGAGTTCGCCGAATTGAACAACATGTGGGAGAGCTCGATTTTGTCAACTCAGCCTAGATCTCCTGCATTAACGGATAATTATGGGGCACTCGGACTTGATTCATCCAGTGGATGCACGAGGTCCCGAAGAGCAGCCACTCATCAACAAATGCTGAGAATATATTTGACGCAGTCCTCAATATACAGGTACCCTACCACCACACAAACACCCCATCTCAACCAACCCGGTTCAACGAAAATACCCAAGAGAGACGATCAGAATGGAGCTCATTCCCAGGTGGTAATTCACCATCCCCTCTTGGCACTAATAGAGAGCCTGCCTCAAAATGTGATTGTCTCCGTGACGTGGCTCTTTTCCTGGAGGCCATTGGGGTAGAATCGACAGAGACGAGGGCAGACATCCTTTTAAAGTGTGTGGATAGAGGAATACAGGTCTGTAGGGAGGCTCTTCGTTGTTCAGACTGTAGAGTCCGTGGTGACAACGGCATGTTTCTAGCCGTTGTCTTACAGCAGCTCGTCACTCTGACTCGTACGGCGTCAGATAAGCTTCTAGAATGGAACCACGAACAAAGTAACCGCCGAGGGTCCTCTAGCGAGACCCACATCCCTATCGTCTGCATTTACCAGTACAGAATCGAAATTCCAGACGTTAAGGTCTCTCTTATACTTCACGTAGCCTTATTGCACTTTTTCGGCTTGCAAGGTCTCTCCAATGCACTTAAGGAAAAACTTCGGTCCAACAGTTTCGCGGCGCAACTAGTTACGGATTGCGAAAGCATTATTGTTGATACCATCAAAATAATTCAGGAGAAGGCATCAAATTCGGCCTCTATGGGTTCTGCATTTTAATTTAGTTAATCATATATTCTAAGCATAAGGACTCAATAAAATGCATGTATTATTAAATTATAGTGGAAAAAGGCCATCAGGGTGTATATTTTTATGTTAATAAAAGACTACAGGACCCCTATTGACCGGTACAGAGCTTAGACAGGAGGCCCGTTTGGGAGCAACATCATTACTGAAATCCTCCATTCTCATGGTTGCCCAGGGTACTTCGGTTATATCTCTAAACCCCAGGCCGTAAGCGAAAGAGTACTAAGCGTATAAAAGGTCTTTTAATATTGGTAATTAATTATATATCTATTTTTTATTATCAGCCTATATCGAAGTCGCTGGCTAAAAATTGAAGGCTTCTCTAATAATGTGACTAAAAGGCACACTTTGACATCTCAAGTATCACCACCCATTAGAAGCCGTTACCCAAAATTCTGGTGCTCAGAGGCTGGGTACTGTAATAATGATATCTTGAACTGTCAATTTCTCGTCACCGCAATAGCAGGGGCTCTTCGTAGTCTTCTCCAGAGTGTTTTTGCAGGAGTGTCAACTCCACTAGACCGACTGGTGTGAAGAGCCTGTTGTATTTCGGCCAATGTACGGCCGCGCGTTTCTGGCATGAAGAACCAACAAACTATGGCTGTGGCAAAGGTACAACTTCCGAAGAGGAAATAGGCACCGTAGCTAGTATTTGCGAGTAGGGTTGGTGTCACAAGGGCAACGAGGAAGTTTGTGATCCAATTGCTTCCATGAGCAAGGCTTGTAGCGCTTGCTCTAGTTCTCTGTGGCTGGATTTCGGCGGCATATATTTTCACAGCAACCGCCCAAGAGATAGAAAATATGACCGTGTAGAGGTAAATAGAGATGACAACCACCCAGCGTCCGGCACCATAGGAATGTACTGCATCTCCAGCATATAACCCGCCAATAATAAACATGGTTGTGGCCATTCCAAGTCCGCCATATATTGTGTTTCGGCGTCGGCTCCAGCTATCAGCCCAGATCGTAGCCGGAATAGTAACTGCACAAATGACTATAGCTGATACGCCTGATGCAAGGAAGGTATCACCTGCGGAAGTGAGGCCAGCTTGTTGGAATAGTAAAGGGGCGTACTATATAATATTAGATGAAGTCGGAAATGTCTAAAAGAATGAAAACGTACATAAAGAACACCATCAATTCCACTCAGCTGTTGCATACCCATGAGGAAGATAGCTAGAAGGAAGCCTGGTCTAGCTTCGGCAGAAAAGACGTCAAGTGTCTGTAAGTAATTGTAATTAGAATACACACTTTCCAACTTTTTTCTAACGTAACCGGAACAAAGAAAACTAGACCCCTTGAACTTAAAGTGGGACTGACCTTGGACCTTATCTTCGGTTCTTCCTCTTGATTTGACGGCATAACTTCTCGATCAGCATGCAGAACACTCAAACGATCCCAGGCTGCATCAATTGCTGCCGTATTTTGGCCGTAGGTCGCAGCTAACCATCTCGGAGAAGGAGGTAGGAACACGTATGCAACCACGGCAAATGTAGCAGAGTAAGAAGCAAGGAGTATAAACGGTAGACGCCAGGAGAGGGTCGTAACAATCTTGACAGATCTGTAGCATGTAAAGAAACCGGCCACTAGCCCAGAGGTGATAAGAAGCTGGGGCCCTGTAGTGAGGCTTCCACGGTGTCTGGCAGGGGAGATTTCGCAAATGTACCTGCAGCGGCGTCAGTGTGGCTGTTCAAGATATTGGCATAGCGCGGTGGATAGTTACACGACCAATGTGCCCAAGTAAAGGCCCTCGCCAATACCTGCTACTACTCGGCCAGCAACAAACATGCCAAGGTGAACGGCAGCGGCCTCAATCGCGGCGCCAAGGCCAAATATAGCAGACCCGATAGCAATTGCTGGGGGCCGACCCAGAACATCAGCAACACGGCCAGCTAAAAACGAGGAGATGGCGGCAGGAATAAGGATCGAAGATACAATCAGCCCATGGAGCGTGGGACTCGGATGGCCGAAAGCCCCGGTAAACGAGTCCATCACAGTCACAGGACCGATAATTGCGGTGTCAACTCCGAAGAGAAAACCCCCGAGGGAGCACAGAATGCTAGCCACGACATAACGAGGCGGTGGTTTCTGGAATATACTGGAGAGTTTCATGATTCCAACTTGAAAGCAACTCCTGCCTCAAGGAAGCTGTGGACTACTGACGGTGTGGTGAGAACCATCGTCTGGGGAAAGGAACACAATTTAAGTCGAAGTGAGGGGTATTTATCTCAGGAGACTACCCGAGGTGAGTCACGAATTGAGTGCTCACCAGCATCTCGTGGGGACCCAACATCATTGGTAATCATTCGATATCTGGCTAGACCTCTACCTTGCGGATGGTTTGTTGGTTTGTGCCTTATTTCCGGTTTCTCCTGCGGGCCCAGAGAGGAGGTCATGGCCACGCCTTTTAGGTTGCCCAAGGAAGTTATAACCTTAAATTAAACTATGTGGGGCAGGACGGGACCCACTTTCCGTATAAAAATGCCGATTCACGGACAGTTTTGCGTTTGTCAGCATCCCGTTCTCACATCTTTTGGCCAATCAGCTGCTCCCGAATCGACATTAGTAGCTACTTCCACCCCTTACCGTGACCCGAATGCTCGAAAATTTTCTTCGGGTCAGAAGGATCTTCCGTTAGCCGTGTCGTGAAAAACAACATTCCAACAGCCTAGAAGGAGGTTACCCAGTGTTTTGCAAAGAGACAAGCTCCAGAGGTTTTTGCCCTGTCATCAGAGAGGAAGCTGGGAGGAAAAAGCTGGGTCACTTGTGATAGGTGCTACCGTATGTGTTCTCGCTACTCGATTGAAATAACTTAATTCCTTTGTTGCTGAAGTCGATACGGAGTACTTCTCTTCCCATTATGAGAAAGTCATTGAAAGACTAAACCCAACAAGACTATCTTTTGAGCGACGACGAGGGAATGCTTGAATCGTATATTGACGTTGTCAAACCAATTAGTACGTGGTCGTTTTTCGACTACTGTAGCCGTCAGCCGCTTCCATATCCCTCGTCTTCCCACAAGAAACTGCATAATGACTAAATATGGTGGTTTAACCGCAGAAATGCCCCTTTTAGGAAAAGCGCTTCTCGGCGCAGCCTCAGCCACACCATCACAACCTTGGATCATCCCTGCGAACATCAACTTATTCTTCCGTAATTAAATATCGAATGGATATTTGACCATTTCTGTCATGAAGTTGCATATTTATACCCCCACAAGTGCAAAAGAATGGATTTCACCCCTCAGTGGAATATCCAAGGATACGTCTTTCAGGTGATGTTGAGTGCAGCTGATCATCATTCTCGAGAGGTTTCAGCATCTTCAACAACAACCCTCACGGGGTATCATTACTGCAATAATCATGGATATAAAGTCCTTCTGATGCCGTCAACTTCCTCTAGGACTAACTATTAGGAAAAAACTACCAGTCACACTTGAACACAAGTCCGGTTTTTCCCTTCAGACTTTCATGATGGCAAAACCACAGCTCGCATCTTTTTGGCACCGCCTAATGGGGGCTGTTGGTTTCAAGAAGACTTACAACTTCATTCTTTTCTTCATTTTCGCCGGTGGCTTGCTTGGATTCACTTTGTCCCGCCTCCAATACCTAGACATAAACAGATTCAGACGAAGCTCTATCCCTGGCGAATGGTACTACTACCAACAAGACCTCTATAAAACCGGTATCATGTTACACCTAGGAGCAATCCTACCTTGTTCACTTCTCATCGTTCTTCAATTTATCCCGATAATTCGATACAAGGCTACTTTATTTCACCGCCTAAACGGATACCTTATTATACTTCTTTTCATGATTTCGAACGCGGGTGTAATAATAATCACTCCCCATGCCTTCGGTGGTGACCCTGCCACGCGGTTCAGCAATGGGCTCCTTGTTCTGGTTTCTACAGTTTCCATCATAATTGCCTACATCAACATCCGCCGGAAGCAAATTGAGCAGCACCGGGCTTGGATGTTACGAGCCATGTTCTATATGGGAAGCATAATAACTATGCGTCCTCTCATCGAAATCTTTTCACCCATATTCCGCTCTCTTGAGTACAAATTTTATGTCAGCTGGCCCTGCGATCAGATTGATTTTACGTGGAAGTTCTACAATATTCCGGTACCATATACCAGCGCATACCCTATGTGCAATGCTACCATTTACCCGTGGTTAGGAAACGTTGAGCGCTACGCCCCGGTCAGAGCTGATACAGGTTCTCCCGACCCAGTCGCTATTGGAGCAAGTATACAGCTCCAGTCGGCTCTCGCTGGTTCAGTAGCGACATTCCTACATTTCGTTGGTATCGAATTGTATCTGCGTCTCACGCCTCGCGAACATGAACGGCTAAGGAACGTGAGTTATGAGCGCCAGGCCGCAGCGAAATATAAAAATCCAGGCAGTGCAGGATTGGTTGTCCAGAAGATTGGTGATGCGAACCCATGGATTCCACATCAGCAGGAGGTAGATGCAGAAGATAACTGATACTTTCAGCGTTTGAAATGGATTAGTCCATGTTTCCTAGCCTTAGTTTTATATCCTCCTTTCATAGTAACGCGAGATTCCTCTACCCTATATCAACCCTCTCAACTAAGAGTCTAGTACATACGACCATAGGAAGTGGAAAACAGAGCTTCCCGTCCA